TGTGTGTGTGTGTGTGTGTGTGTGTGTGTGTGTGTGTGTGTGTGTGTACACAGTACCGCTGTGGCGCTACGCTGGCTTCCTCCGCAGTAATGGTTAGCTCTGGCTGCTATCAGTTAGCACTCTGTATGATACCAACATGGAGTCTACAACCTGCTGTGTGTGAACAGGAGCTTATTATCATTTTCAGATAAACAAAAACCCAGAAGGTAGTTCAGCGACACCCGATGTTTTTTTATTAATTCCTGAATCTTTAAAGATTGAAGATTAAAAAAATAAATTGTGTTTGCTGCAGATTTGAACCCCCGAGCAGTTTCAGGGCGTTTCTCACTCCTGTCACATTTGTCTCTCTGTGGCCGTGTTTCTCACTGCAACATTAAAGTGCTGCTCCTCTATGGAGACGGAACATACATGGCTAGAAGTAGAGAGAACTGCAGAATGTCCTATAGTGCAGAATAAGACAGTTGTGACATAAATCATAGAAAAGAAAAGAGTTATCTTTGATATATTTTACAGACAGAAGTTGGAAAACAATGGTGTGTGTGTGTATATATATATATAGACAGACAGACAGACAGACAGACAGTTCCAAGTTTTACTAATAATACTAATTAGTTTTTTACAGGTAGAATAAAATGTTTTTGATGAAGTGTCACCATTTTAAGCTTCTTTTCTTTGGTTGCTCTTTCTGATGGAAAAGATTCAAATCTGACGATTATGACATTTTTGCAGCTTCTGGCTGTGATAAACGTGCAGTTTTGGTGATCGTTTAAAGAAAACATGTTTTTCAATCCCGCCAGTGGGTTTTGGGGCTCAGAGGGTTAAAGATATTTAACCCATTCCTCATGTTGCAATCGCATTTCCTTTCCAGGTTATTTTTGTAAAACACTAGCAGAATATTAGCACGCTATTCTGTATGAAATGTAAGATGTTTGAAAGAAATATAAACTGATAAACTGATTATACGTTTTTAAATTTTTGGTTCACGTACGAATTTAGAAAGAGATATTTAGTTTACGGACACCATCTTTGTTTGGATTTGGAGAAAGAAGCTTAACTCACATTAAAAGAGTAAAGCTTTCCTATAACGTGTCTCACAAGCACCTCGACCTTTACAAAAGTGCAAAACTTGATTTACTGGCAGTATTAAATGTCTATCAGTAGTTTCAGTCCAATAATAGTAGTAAATCCTATTGTCCAAACCAAAATGAACCCACGAGCACAAGCAGCATCCTCTGGAGCTGATAAATGAAGCCGAAGTTGAAGTGCCAACAACTGCAGTTCATCAAATGGCCACTGGAGGCTGGCTCCAGAAGCGAGTCAATCCCCATTGACCTCAATGTTAAAATGGCCGACTTTAGCATAGAAATAAACACGTTCAACTGCTCGGGGATGAATTGTTATACAACGCACCTGTTTCAATGATATTAAGGCTTAAAGTTAGGCATAATTAAGGATGGGCAGCTTTCAGCAACAGGTGGGTGCTGGTCAGAAGCCTTTGGGTGAACTCACTACACTCGTACTGTATACAGTTTACGGTGCTCACTCACCTGCAGGTACTTAATGCCAAGCCAAGGAACGTCATGCACTGTGTATCCAGGGCAGCCTAAATTAGTCTCAGCAGGTATGTGGGCATTAGGCCTCCTGTCGAGGAGAGAGAGAGAGAGAGAGAGAGAGAGAGCAAGCCGGGGGGAGAGAGGATAGAGAAAGGAGTGAGTGGAGGGCAGCAGATAAGGCCTGAGAGGGAGAAGATGAGAGTAAAGTCAGGGGTTGAATGTGATTAGCAGAAGAAGAAGAAGAGCGGAGCGGGAGCGAGGGGGGATTGGATTAGGGGGGGAGGGATGAAAGGGGTGAGTGGTGCAGAGGGTGAGTCAGAAGGTGAATGAGAGTGATTGGGAACTAGCATGCTGCTTATTGCATGATGAAGAATACATTCAGCAACCTGTGTGTGTTGCAGAAAAAGCTATGAAGAGACAACTAAATTACATCTCCAAAAAAGACAAAAACAAACACACAATGTTTAGAAGCACAACAAAAAAAAGAAGTCATGTCTGCACACATGCATGCTCTCACACACACACACACACACTAACACTCATTTACATTGACTTGTGTCTGGATGACAGAAGGGGTCCAACAACGCAGACGGGCCCGTGGGTGAGATCACACACACACACTTGCTGGAACACAATCTAAATATACACATGCACGAAGCCTGTTTCTTTCTCAGACTTGTCACATATCTGTCTGTGGAGAAAGCAAAGGCGAATCAGCGTGTGCGTGTGTGTGTGTGTGTGTGTGTGTGTGTTAGACAGCTCATGGGGGTGTTGATTGGGGGGAATGTGTGCACGTAAGTGTATCTGCATTTATTTTTCCTTTCCATCCCGGCAGGTGTCAGTCTCGCCTCCACTTTGCAGATGTAAAATGTCATCCTCCTCTCCCTTATCTGTGAGCTCTCATCAGTTCCTGTCCAGCAGCGTGTAGTCGGAGTGTGAATCTGTAAACCAGCGAATGCTTTCATATCTGGGGTCACAGTGTTATTGTGATGAGAGCGCGTCTCTAATGAGAACGACCACAAACATTATCCCTGCACCATCTCATCTGTAGCGCTTCATTAACTCTCCGTCATTCAGCGTTTGGAGGATATTCCTGCTTCCTCTTTATCTTTCTGCCATCTTCTCCTCTTCTCAGAAACTCATGAAAGTCCTCCTGTGTTTCCCTCTCGCAGCTGAGAGGCTTCATGAATAACTTTATTGTTACCGGGATCTTGTCTTAACTGTAAGGGCACATTCCAAGAAGTTCTAAAAGTTTTCTTCAAATTTAGATGCTAGAAAGTTTTATAAAAATGGCCTCTGGTCTGTTTTAGACATGAAGCAATAGGAGATAACGTTAAGTCATATGGACCTACATGTAACTCATTTATTTAACCCTCTGAACCCCAAAGCACTTTAGTCAAAGGTTCACAGAACTTTCAATGAGACACGTCGAATAAAGTGTTTTTCATGAAATATCACAATTTTAAGCTTCGAGAGGAAACTGTGGTGTGAACGAGAGGCGTTATGATATGTATGGGCACATCCTAATGAGCCAACCATGGAACTCGTGTTTTGTTCCAGCAATTAGTCACAATTAGTAGCTGTGTGTGTGTGTGTGTGTGTGTGTGTGTGTGTGTGTGTGTGTGTGTTGCTTTGTAGTGCCTCCTTCTGCTGTGACTTTTACGTGCCGTGCGTTTTAATATGCATTAAGTGTAGTGGATCCGTGTGGTCTGCTTTGTCTTCGGCCTCTCGCACCATTACATCGTGTCGGTGACGTATCCTCTTAACAAAGTGCTGTCATAACTTCTGCTGGACGTAGTTGCTCTGGTAAAAGTTTCAGCATTTGGCTTCTACATCAAAAGTAGCTGGCTTTCCATCCTGGCTTTAATAATTAAATTCCTGGGTAATGCAGTTGTATTGTGTGTTTGTAGTCCCTCATGTTACGTTGTGTCTCTGCAGTCTATACGGTTCGCTGTCAGAAGTTCCTGATCTCGCGGGTCGGGGAGGACTGGATCTTCCTCATCCTACTGGGACTCTTCATGGCCCTGGTCAGCTGGGTGGTGGACTTCTGCATCGCCATCTGTCTACAAGGTGAGGGAGGCAGGGAGGGGGGGAGGGATTGGAATTTGTACCTATGGTTTGGTACGTAAAGAGAGTTGACGAATGAGCAGCAGGCAAAAGGCAGATGATTCCAGAAGAGGAGGATGAATTATTAGAAATGAGGAGGGAAGGCGGTATTGATGAAATGTGATACATGGACCCAGACAGGGAGGAAGTGATTTAAAGGCTGGAGAATAGGAAAGGGGGAAAAATGCAAAGGTCAACTCTAGAGATGTCACGATACCAGAAACCAACGACGGAGGAACGATTCTCGAGACTCAATTCAAGATCAAAACCAAACAAATCCTGTTTACTTCAACACGCGCTCCTTTATTACCGTTTGCAAACTGTTTTTTGTGAGTTTGTTATTAATGAAAACAAAAAGCTACATTTTAAAATACTACGTTTAAACACATGACGATGTTAAGACTGTGGGCTGAACAGGGTCGTAAACTCGGAAGCTAGAAACATTTTAGGCGTATACATTCATCAGGTCAGTCCATCTCAGGGTCCGGCATCCAGTTCTCTTAATACATCGTTGGCTAACGCTACTAGCTCTCCGCCTGACGATTTCAACACAGATTAGTATTTCACAATGTAGCATTAGCACTCGCTGCGCTGTAGAAAAACTAGCACCGTCAGGTTTTCAGAAGTTTGGCATGGACTTGGTACTGAGGCCTTTAAAGTGATCGTAGTCTCTCCTCTGCAAATGTAAAACCAGGAAAGGATAATGTATAGGCTTACATATGCAAATTACAATTCTGCTCGCATGTACTCACCTACAACGTACAGCTTATACAAAATCTGCATACTTTGTATTCGCTGTATATTTGTGTAACAAACTCTTTAAATCCCCTTCCGGGTCAGGGAGCCTTCAGGTCTGAATGCGTCAGCTGCTTGGACTCAGTTCTACTTTCTTGCAAATGGAGTTTTGTGTAAATCTGTCGGGGCTGTTTTTGACTTACGGCGTCAGTAGAATTAAGAGGGCTGCAGCTCCCTCGGATTTATTTCATTTAGACGGAGAAACTTATGAGCCATCCAACATTTTTTTATTGCCGTGTGTTCTGTAAGTTTAACTCCGGAGACGTCTGAGTAATATTTCAATGCGACGGGACATTCTCCGAATGATCTTGGCCCCAACAGGAGCTCGTAAATAGAGAGCGATCGCATTTAGGATGGGGCCCTCGGGACGTTCACTGGAAATGAGAAAGTTTTTAATGTGTTGCCTATGGTGACTAAGAGAAGTTCTTAAAGGGGTAGAAGAAGGAGTGGTATAAAGTACAAAGGGGCAGAAAGAAGTGTGTGTTTAGAGGAAATGGAGACGATTGGAAGAGGAAGTGAGGGACAAAGGAAGGAATACAGGAAGCGAAGGGATTGAAGACAGAAAGGAGGAGTCAAGGTGGATGGAAGGCGTCTTATGGCATCAACCATTTACCTGCATGGTGGATGCAGCAAACGGAGGGATTTGTGAGTGAGTCAACTCTACGTTCCAGGAAGAGGAAGCTAGGTGTGTGTGTGTGTGTGTGTGTGTGTGTGTGTGTGTGTGTGTGTGTGTTCTCAAGGAGGAGCCAACCTAGTCTTGTCAGTTCCAGTTATGGTGTACAGTTCCTTTTAATTGGATACAGAACATGACTAACCACACACACACACAACTACACACATTTTTCCTGTCTTTAAACGGTTTATATGACGGCTCTCCTGGATGTACATTAATCCGTGCGTGTGTGTTTCTTACTGTGTTTGTGTGTGTGTGTGTGTGTGTGTTTCTTACCGTGTGTGTGTGTGTGTGTGTCCACAGCACAGAAGTGGATGTACGGCGGTCTGGACAGTAACGTGTTCCTGCAGTATCTGGCCTGGGTCACCTACCCCGTGGTCCTCATCACCTTCTCTGCCGGCTTCACACAGATTCTAGCCCCCCAAGCTGTTGGTATGACAACACACACGCACACACACACACACACACAGCATGTACACGCCAGAGATGCCTAAAAAAGAGGCAAAACAATCACATTTAATTAAGTAATGGCAAAAAAAGGTATTGCGTGATTGATCTATGTATAAAATAAGCTTTAGCTCTTTATTACTGTAGATGCACTCAAGAACAACAAAGCTTTCATATTTACAGTACAGAATTCAGATTTGACAACATGCTACCAAAGCCAAACCTAAATGATTTAATAAAATATATTATAGCTTTCTTCCCCAGCCACTGCCCCCCTCTTACTGCAATGAACTCCTCCTAAACATCTGTGGGTGAACCAGTAGCTGCTGCCTCACAGTGTGACACAACACAGTGACACACTGTAAATCCCCTCTGAGCCCCTTCAGGCTCTGCTTCTTCCCCAGGGGGAGAAGTGAGTTCTGCACATAATCACAATGTTTATACTCTTAACATTCAGGTTATGTTAGTGTGGAGTCAGTGCAGCACTCCTTCAGATGCCCCTGAGGTAATATTCTGCTGCAGGTGTAGCGGAGTCTTTACTGTCACTCTCGGTAACGGAGGCTAAAGAGATGGGTGAGGTATCTTCTGCCTTTAGTGAGATCCACCTCAGTACACCACTGTTTAGACCGTGGGGGAGGTGGGGAGGTGGGGAAGTGTCTTCCCCTTCAGCTTACTATGAGAAAGAAGGAATGATACTAAGACACTTGTTGCATTTCATACAACTCATCTCAATAGACGGGCTATACTTTAGCTGATTACACGTGAACATGAAGACTCTTCCTGGCCCGTTAATAATGGCTGCATGCAGTAATGTCGTACATGCAGGCTACAGAATAAAACACAACAAAGCATCCAAAAAATACAATGGATAAATAATAAATGATGGAACTTGGAAACTCACATTCTGGTTGCAGAGTTTACTACAGAAGTGTTTTACTGAGTAGAATGACATACATATTTGACGAGTAATTAATTAATACGTCTGTTTGCAGCATTTCAATTAAGAAAATTAAATTCTGGGGATTTGTTTTTCTGCAAAAAACAAATCTCATTTCCAAACTGAATTAATTATCCAGAGTTTTGAATTGAATCCAAAAAGCTGTGGCAGCCAAATTTGAATGAATCCAGTCGTTCTATTTGCAATGACGTTGTGAAAAATAGTCTGTAGTTCTTTGAAATTAGCTTTCAACCAGATGAGGTTCATCTTACAGGAATAGTTGGACATATTGGTCAAATATGTTCCATGCTGACGTGCTTTCTTGCTGAGAGCTGGATGAGGAGAGGAATGATGTCATCTTTAATGTCTCAGCGCTAAATATGAAGCTACAGTCAGCAGCTGGCGAGCTTAGCATAGCATAAAGACTGGAAACCTCTTTTGTCCAGTAGAGTCTCCAGGAAGTTACTTCTCATGGCCAACAATGAGTCCCAGCCGTAACTTCCCATAACACCTGGAACATGCGTTTCTCACGCTCTGGTCTCTGTACAGAGAAAACAAACAAGATGTTTGGTGTTGCTGAGCTTTAGAGGTGCTGCTTGACAGATCGTGTAACCTTTGGATGGAGTCAGGCTAGCTGTTTCTGCCTGTTTCCAGTCTTTGTGCTAAGCTAAGCTAACAGCTTCTGAGGGTGGCTTCATTTTTTTCACCGTACAGATATGAGAGTGATTTCAATCTTCTCATCTAATCTAAAAGTAATTTGTGTTTCCCAAAACGTTTAACTATTTTCCCTTAAGGCTATGATGTAATTGATACGTATTTGACACGTATTTGTCATCGTTGCTCGATGCGTTGGTGTTTCTCTTTGAGTTGCCGGTCAGCTGTAAGCGCCCGCTGTGCTCCTCTGCAGGTTCAGGTATTCCAGAGATGAAGACCATCCTGAGAGGAGTTGTGCTGAAGGAATACCTCACCTTCAAAACCTTCGTGGCCAAAGTCATCGGCCTCACCTGCGCTCTGGGCAGCGGCATGCCCCTGGGCAAGGAGGTAACACACACACACACACACACACACACACACACACACACACGCACGCACGCACACATCAGCTTTACCTACTCTATGGGGCCCTAAATGCCTTTGTTGTATGTCAGTCCTGTGTGTTGGCAAGCACCTCACAATGCGATGTATCACGATACAATACGATGCGATATATGTCACGATATGATGCAATATGATACAATATATCACAATGCAATGCGATGCGATATGATACATATTGCAATACTTTTTTTAACTTAAAATGTAAAAAATAATGCTAAGACTTGCATCATCAACACATTATATTTATAACTCAACGAACAAATTGCATCAAAACTACTTCAAAAGGTATTTGCATTGCACACACTCGTCATATAAAATATATAAAAATAAAGTTAATATTGTATTCTTATTGTGTCCCTGAACACTTTTTTACTAAAATTTACATGTAGACGCCATAAACATGATATGAAATAAAGTGTTCAGTCCCTATAGCTCGGTCCTTCCCATCTATGTCCCATTCATCCATACAGTGTACGGACGCTTGCTTGTGACACCCTGTTGTGATTTTGGCCAGATTTAAAGGACATTTTAAATCTGTTTAAAATGGGATTTAAAAAAAATTAAAAAATTACCAATACAAGTCAAGGTCATATTAATACACCATCGTCGGATAAAATATTGGGATAATCAGCAATATCGATATGTTGGCACAGTCTTATTGTGTGTGTGTGCATGTAGTCTTGAGCCATCTCACAGAATGGGAAGATGCTGGAACACGATGTGACAAACGCACACAGCACAAGCTGACGACTTCGTCAATCCATCAGTCAATCGGTACATGACTCATCCGACAAGAGACAAAAGACAAGCTGCACAAACGTTTGTTGAGGAAAAACTTGAGGCGAAATGACTCATGTATGCTTTCATGTTTCTGTGTGTGTGTGTGTGTGTGTGTGTGTGTGTGTGTGTGTGTGTGTGTGTGTGTGTTTGCTCCCGACACACACGCACGGTTCCATTACCGAACCATCTCATGATGGCTGACTTTGTGAAGCAAAATCAATTTTCAAACCTTGCCTCAAACTCAAAGTGTTGACCCATATTCACCGGTTATGTTGTTTGCTGACACATTTTCAGTGATTCACAGCATTAAAGAAACATTGCTTGTGATTTGAATCCAGACTGGCACCGAGCTGCCATCCGGGTTTGAACGCCAGCTTACACAACATCCATCCATCCATCCATTTTCCTCCGCTTATCTGGGGTCGGGTCGCGGCGGCAACAGGCCAAGCAGGCTGACCCAGACTTCCCTCTCACCGGCAACATGTTCCAGCTCATTCTGGGGGATCCCGAGGCGTTCCCAGGCCAGCTGGGAGATGTAATCCCTCCAGCATGTCCTGGGTCTTCCCCGGGGTCTCTTCCCAGTTGGACGTGCCTGGAAAACCTCCAGTGGGAGGCGTCCAGGAGGCATCCTAATTAGATGCCCGAACCACCTCAGCTGACTCCTTTCGATGCGAAGGAGTAGCGGCTCGACTCCAAGCTCCCTCCTGATGACCGAGCTCCTTACTCTATCTCTAAGGCTGAGCCCGGCCACCCTACGGAGGAAGCTCATTTCGGCCGCTTGTAACCGCGACCTTATCCTTTCGGTCACGACCCAGAGTTCGTGACCATAGGTGAGGGTAGGAACGTAGACCGAGTGGTAAATTGAGAGCTTTGCCTTCCGGCTCAGCTCCCTCTTCACCAAGACGGTCCGGTGCAGCGCCTGCTTTACTGCTGCAGCTGCACCGATCCGTCTGTCGGATCTCCCGCTCCATCTTACCCTCACTCGTGAACAAGACCCCGAGATACTTGAACTCCTTCGCTTGAGGTAGGCACTCCGTCCCCACCTGGAGGGAGCAATCCACCGGTTTCCGGCAGAGCACCATGGCCTCAGATTTGGAGGTGCTAACTCTCATCCCCGCCGCTTCACACTCTGCTGCAAACCGCCCCAGTGAATGCTGGAGGTCACGATCCGAGGAGGCTAACAGGACCACATCATCTGCAAACAGCAGAGAGGCGATCCCGAGACCCCCGAACCTGACGTTCTCCACCCCCAGGCTGCGCCTAGATATCCTGTCCATGAAAGTCACGAACAGGACCGGAGACAAAGGGCAGCCCTGGCGGAGGCCAACACCCACCGGGAACGTGTCTGACTTATTGCCGAGAATGCGGACACAGCTCCTACTGCAGTTGTACAGAGACCGGATCGCCCGTTGTAATGGGTCCGGCACCCCATACTCCCGCAGCACCCCCCACAAGAACCCCCGAGGGACCCGGTCGAAAGCCTTCTCCAAGTCCACAAAGCACATGTAGACTGGTTGGGCAAACTCCCAGAACCCCTCCAGTAGTCTTGCGAGGGTAAAGAGCTGGTCCACTGTTCCACGGCTGGGACGGAATCTGCACTGCTCCTCTTGAATCTGAGGTTCGAGAAACGGACGGAGCCTCCTTTCCAGCACCCTGGCATAAGCCTTCCCCGGGAGGCTGAGTAGTGTGATACCCCGGTAATTCGAGCACACTCTCCGGTCCCCCTTTTTGAAAATGGGAACCACCACCCCGGTGTGCCAGTCCATGGGCACTGATCCCGACCCCCATGCGACATTGAAGAGGCGTGTCAGCCAGGACAGCCCAACTATGTCCAGCGCTTTCAGCATCTCAGGGCAGATCTCATCCACCCCCGGCGCCTTGCCACCAAGGAGCTTTTTGACTACCTCAGCGGCCTCTGCCAGGGATATGGGTGAGCCTCCCCCTAGATCTTCAGGCGCTGCCTCCTCTGCAGAGGACATGTTGGTCGGGTTTAGGAGTTCCTCAAAGTGCTCTTTCCACCGCCCGACGATGTCCCCTGTCCGGGTCAGCAGTTTGCCCCCCCCCTGCTGAGAACAGCCTGGGGTAAGCCCTGCTTTCCCTTCCTTAGCCGTCGGATGGTTTGCCAGAACCTCCTTGAGGCCAACCGAAAGTCCTTCTCCATGGCCTCCCCGAACTCCTCCCATGCCCGAGTTTTAGCATTCGCGACCACTGCAGCTGCAGCCCTTCTGGCCTGCCGGTACCTGTCAGCTGCTTCGGGAGACGCCTGGGCCAACCAGGCCTTGAAGGTCTCCTTCTTCAGCTTGACGGCTTCCCTCACCTCCGGTGTCCACCACCGGGTTCTCGGGTTGCCGCCACGACAGGCACCGATGACCTTCCGGCCACAGCTCCTAGCGGCCGCGTCCACAATAGAGGCTTTGAACATGGTCCATTCGGATTCCATGTCCCCAACCTCCCTCGGGATGTGAGAGAAGTTCTTCCGGAGGTGGGAGTTAAAGACCTCCCGGACAGGGTCCTCCGCCAGATGTTCCCAGTTCACCCTCACTACACGTTTGGGCTTGCCGGGTCTTTCCAACCGGTTCCCCTGCCATCTGATCCAACTCACCACCAGGTGGTGATCATTTGACAGCTCTGCTCCGACAGCTTACACAACATCCCTCCACTAAATATGAGCATAGAATACCAGCTGTCTGTTGATGTCTCATCAATCATCACAAACCCATTTTTCTTTCTTTTTTTACATGCTATACTATTTCAATCTTTGGCTGAACTTCCGTGGGTTTTCCAGAAACATAGGATAACATGGTTTTATCTGGGCTATAATTCCTCTGTGTCCTCTGTACTCGTACGTGTGTCCTTTCTGTGCATAGCTGTACATGCATGTTTTTTGCATGTACTGTATATGCAGTGAAGAACTTACTTTGTGCGATATCAATACAATCTTACTTGCACACAGAACTGACATGCTACACCAGCTGAACTTCCCAGGGAAGCATAATCCTCCCGGCTCATTCCCATCCCAGCTCCCTACATCCCTGCGGCATGAATTACAAACGATAGCTGGCACACGCTGGAGCCCGTATGCTTCAGGTTCAGCACGAGAAGGACTAAGAGTTGTGCGGCTTTGACTCCTGGTCTAAACCCAAAAGGACTGAGAATACCGTTTTTCTGGAGATTTAAGGAGCTCTAGCCTCGCTATGCAGATGTTGTTTATTGTGTGTGTGTGTGTGTGTGTGTGTGTGTGTGTGTGCGTGTGTGTGTGTGTGCATAATGTAGCGCACATCACAGTTTGTCAGTGTTTTCTTTTTAGCAAAAAAACATTTCCAGGTAAGTATGGCATCTCCCAAAAGACTGCCTATCCTGAAGACATACTGAGAGGAGAATAAGCCTTCTCCACACACACACACACACACACACACGCATCAGGCCCTTTTGGTTTGGATTCAGCCTCTCTCTTCCTCTAACAGGAGCACGATGTGATGCTCTCACTTTTAATCCTGTTGGTTCCTCTCTGAACTTGGTCCCCAGGATGTTAATATTGTCTGCGGTCTTGGTGGTCGGTGGTGTGTTCTTGAAGTCATGCGCTGGTCTTGTGTGACACATAACAAACAGACAGCTTCTTAACTTGTTAACTCGTTTTCTTTTCGTCCTGTCAGGGTCCGTTCGTACACATCGCCAGTCTGTGTGCTGCTCTCCTCAGCAAGTTCATGTCTCTGTTTGGAGGAATTTATGAGGTAAGTCTTCTTCTTTTTATAGTTTTTTACCGTCAGTGCTCTGCCTCAGTTTCTGTTCTGCTCAATTATTCTAATCTGTGTTTTAACGGGTAAACTTAATATAAAGTTATCTATTCTTCATTTATTTCCATATACGCTGTCCTCTTCATACGCCATAAGAAACTTTTTTCAGCGCCATGTTGTCATCATCTCCTTGTCTTCTCCACCGTGCGGTATGTTAAGAGTACGTGATGTGATCCAAGTGGACGCGCTCTTCTGACTCGCCTTCAGTTGTTCCCGTGCGCTCAGAGCAATAAGCTTAACGGACACGAGTCTAGATACTTAGTTTTTTTCTGGTAATATTTTCATCGACGGTTAATAATGTAAAAATATTCAGTCAAAGACATGACAGTACGTTACACATACAAGGGATTTGGCTCTGTGATTGATGCATGACAATAAGCATCATTTGAAAAGAGAAAATATGAAACTTTACATAAAATATGATAAACAAACATTTAAAAGTACATTTTAGATTCCATCTAAAATATGTATGTTATTAAAGTGTCATGTATAGTAGAAGGTGTGTAACTGTAAGTGCACGGCTCTTTGTGGTAAACATTTATAAAGGAAACTGGAAACATATCTTCAGTACTGTAGGGTAAGTGCATTAATCATAAGGAGTTTACATACATATTTAATTTGGCTCAAGTGACTTTTGCATCAATTCTCTAATCATCAAAAATGTATCTGAACAGCAGCCAGTAAAATCTGTTGAGAGAGAGAATGATGAAGAGGAGTGAGGTCGAGTGTTTGAAGGAGAGAGAGAGAGAAAGTGCTGAGGATGAGAGATGATGACAGCAGCAGAGAGAAGAACAGAGAGAATAACTGGGAATGAAGACGAGTGTAAAGTGAACAGTTCAGGACTGCAGCCGGATGCTTCTTTAGTTTTGACTCTTTTACTCGGCATGAGCTTCATCACCTGACTGAAGGCTTTTGTTTTTTAGTTATAATTGTTCAGCTAACAAGTGTGACATTAGCTGTGCACACATTTCTATCTTCTCTTATTTAATCTCTTGAAGTAAATATTTTTTCAGTATGTTATTTCTCAGCAATTTAGATCTTCAGGGAGGAAAAGATGCAGAAGTGGAAAAAAGAATATACAGCGATTTTCTTCTCCGTCGTCTCCCGCTTCTTCTCCTTCTCCTCCTCCCTCTCTTTTCCTTCTTCTCCTTCTTCTCCGTCTCGGATCAGAGTCCGGGAGCTGTGAAAGGGAGGCAGAGAGGAAGTCTTGACTCCTCGTCTCCCTCTCTCTTCTCTTGAGCGACTCTCTTGAGGGATGGAATGTTGGGAAGAGTCGGAGGGTTTGAAGTCTCCGCGCTGCATCCGCAACGTGTCCTCGATCCACAGGACCAAAGTGTTCTGTAGATCAGCTGCATGAGAGTGAAACAGTCTCTGAGTGGACGCCTGCACATTCAGCCGACATGCGATTGGCATTAATGTGCAGCTACAGCAGCCTCCACTCTTCTGCAGGGCTTTGGTCCCTTTCAGCCATAGGTGCATTAATGAGGTCCAACAGTGGTGTTGTGTGATGGGACTCGGCTTGCAGTCTGTATTTCCAGCTCCATATGTTCTGCTCCGTGCTGTCTAGACCGTCACATGTTGTTGATCATTTAAACGGACTTAAGGGGCCAACGTCCAAATCCTGAAACGCTGCCCCAGAGAGCACGTAAACGTTTTTGGCCTTGTGTTATAATTTGTCGGAGTTACTCTGTGGAATGAGCACATTTTAACATAAAAAGAGCAGAGAAGGAAATGTTATAAACCAGCAGATGTCTTATTAAATAATACATAAAACGATGTTTAATAGAATCACATGTTTTGTTACGAAGCTGAGCAAAGTATCAGGAGATCAAACAAACACAAAGTAGCATTTTATAGAGTTGGAAAAGGAAATTAATTTTGAATCCTCAACTTTAATCTAAAAGGGAAAACTGTCTCATAAGCAGGCATGCATAGAGCACACTGGACATGAAGCATAATAAAGCACATAAAACATATTATTTTGTAGACAAAAGTAACCGCATTACATAAAATCAGCAGTTAAAGCGTCATCGCGATCCAGAGGCCTTAAACTCACAATGTTTCTATGAAGCACTCATCAGCTGACAGATGAGCATCAACAGTTTAAGGCGTTTCTCACCCTGTGTGAGGCGACTTCTTTACTTTCTGCAATAATCCACAAAGCCGATGGAAGAATCCCGTCGGTGTGACGCTAACTTCTGAGTTTGGCCAACAGAAACACTCCTTCAGCGCTCTGTCACATTCTGTCCCTCCATCTCCTCCATTCTATTTTACTGCCAGTCTACCGTTTCATCTTTTCTAATCATCATCATCATGATCCACAGTGTCTCCCTCTGTTACCCCCCCCCCCCCCAGTGGTGTGCTGCATTTTATTGCATATTAATGCCGAGAGTGTGGAAGTGTCCCCCTGCAGCAGTATCTGGTCTCCAGAGCTTGAAGTGCACGATGCTGATGTGTCCTGTGGGCGGTTAAGAAGCAGCTCTTTGTTTCAGCGTCCATGTTTCAATAGCTTGTTGAACTTCAATAGAAACAGAACGAAGAGTCGTCCAACACACGTGGAGAACGCCGTCGTTTGATCGAATGATTTTGATCAGTTCTGTGAAGTGTTTTCACTTTGGTGATTAAATTGTATAAAATATAATAAAATCAGATTGATATTTGTTCCATCTCTCAAAGATAGTATTGGTAGTAGCTTAACTCTGTCTGTTACTCCCACGCTTCCTGAAGGAGCCCAGTCTTGTAAATATTAAGGTAATTCAATCACTCAATTACCCAGCATGCCCCACAGTCGATGTCCCATCTCCGTCCTCTGGCTCAGTCTTGTCAAATTGTTTCATGCTGCAAAAAGAGTTCAACCGAAGCTTCATATTTGTTCTAGTCTCTGTGTGTCCAGACCAAGTTTTTATCCCCTTTTTACCAAACATCCATCCCGACACAGCTGGTGTCTTTGGAAACCTTTTGGCATCTTCTCTAGAATTTAAAATGAAGCATGTGGAATTTAACAATGTCGTACAAACGTTTACAGTCAGAGCACCAATTCGCTCGTATTTAAATAAAACAAAAATCAAGAGTTTTTCTTATTAGCTTTGCTTGTGATGCTCAGAGCTTCAAGCTTTGTTAAATGTTAAATCCTCTCTTTGTACTTCTGGCTGATATTTGAAGGAATGAGACGATCCCACAAATGAGGCCAAACGGGTAAAGCTTCATAAAGCTTCAAGCTGAAGGCCGATGATCCAATCTCATTAAGCACACATCCGAGTTCACCAAGTAGAAAGAAGAAATTCACAACGAGTTCATGGTTTCAGGACGTTTGCTGAATCTGAAGCTGTTGAAGTGCTCTTGCATGTGTCTTCATGTTCGGCTGCACATGCTTTTGTAATTGTGAAATATTCCAGCCTGCTGTCATTCTTATTTATGTTTTTTATATTCACTCCCAACATGTTTTGCAGTGTCGGCTGTATTTGCTACATGTCCATAGACCGCCTCTTTGTGTGTGTGTGTGTGTGTGTGTGTGCGTGCGTGCGTGTGTGCGTGCGTGCGTGCGTGCGTGCGTGCGTGTGTGCGCGTCACTCTTCTTTATCCTGCCGTGCTGCTTGAAGGAAGCCGGTCTCGTAGGAATGAAGCTGAGTAAGATCAGGCTTTCCCCCTCAAAAAGAAAAACTCTATTTCCCAGGATGCACCGTGGTCCTCTGCAGTCCTTTATTTCTTACTGCGTGTTCCACTGTGATGGGACCTCATTGTTACTCCCTTATAGAGAGAGGTGTGGATGCTCTTGGGTTGAACTGTGCAGTTGGAGATGTTTTGAAGCATGAAACACTTTTTTTAACGTCTTTGCTCCATCAGCTTGGTGAATGTGATCACATTGCTTCGCTGTGAACTTGTCTGTAATTTAAAGAGATTGTCAGTTGTTTGTTCAACGTATTATATTTAAGTTTTGATCTGCGCTCCGAATCTACATTTTATGTGTTCCAGCTCGTAGCTGAGATGGATGAATGCTCTTTATTCATCCTACTTTTTTAAATGATTATATTACAGCAGCAGGTTATCCTCATATTGCACTGCAACAGAAAATACACACTAACACTAGAGATATCTGTCTATAGAACTCACCATATGAAGAATACAATTAAATACAAAAAGCAGCTAGAAGATCTAAACGTAGGATAACATACTATATTATATATACAGTAGGTTAGACATAAGCGTGCCGATGTGTTGCACTGTAAACAACCTGATGAGGTGGAGTGAGAGCAGGTTTCATGTATTGTTGAGCGGCTCACAGACGGACTGAACTGTGACCGCACATCCGTGTTTCTTCCGTTTGTTTCAGAACGAGTCGAGAAACATCGAGATGCTGGCGGCGGCCTGCGCTGTGGGAGTGGGCTGCTGCTTTGCCGCTCCCATAGGAGGTGAGTTTGTGCAGAAAACTATATAGTACATAATGTGAACTGTACATCCTGTGACATACAATAACACAGAGTGAGCTTTATGTCACTCGGTGGGGGGATGTCTCCGTCTGCACATGTAATACCGTCCCGTGCTGCATTTAGGGCCTCAGTACAAACTAGTGCAGATCTCACAGCACACGTTTGTGTGAGCGTTTTATTTATTTATAGGCAAACAGGTTTTTCTTTTACAGCTCAGCTGTGGAGTACATAATGGTCCAAACTGTGACCAGTCCATGTTAACGTGTGATTGGTGTGCCATATGTTTGTGTGTGTTCCAGGTGTGTTGTTCAGTATTGAAGTAACGTCCACGTTCTTCGCGGTGAGAAACTACTGGAGAGGCTTCTTCGCTGCTACCTTCAGTGCCTTCATCTTCAGAGTGCTGGCTGTGTGGAACAGAGACGAAGGTAAAGCAGACTCAAGTGCTCAAAGTACCGTAGATGGAAGTATGGAGGAATGATTTCAAATACCTTTACCATTCACCATTATAAAGGTCCATCAAACTGCCACGGTTTGGGTGAAACTCACACATCTTAATGAAGAAAGAAAATTGCTTCTGTTGCATGATTCGTCAAAATGTCTCCTGTGAAAATGGCCTGTTGATCAGCAGAAGGACAAAGACCTGTTGGCTGTGGTCAGACCAGGCAGCAACCTCCGGCTCTGTAAAGTGAAGCCAAAGCTTCAAGTGTTAAAGCTGCATTCTCTCTAGTGTCCACCAGGGGGCGACTCCTCTTGTTGTATAGAAGTCTATGAGAAAATGACTCTACTTCTCTCTTGATTTATTACCTCAGTAAACATTGTAAACATGAGTTTATGGTCTCAGTCTCTAGTTTCAAGTCTTCTTCAATACAGCATGATGTTCATTTAGTACATTATGGTCCATTTATAGTCAAACAGACCATAAAGCAGGGGATGCTTTAGGTTCTCTTTCCTAACTCCAGCTTCATCTCATCTTTCCCCAGAGACCATCACAGCCCTGTTTAAAACCCGCTTCCGGCTAGACTTCCCCTTTGACCTCCAGGAGCTTCCCGCCTTCGCCGTCATTGGGTGAGTCTTGACAGGCGATTGGTTCATTTTTGTTGATTTCACAAATGCGTACATGTGGCAGGGCTCGAAACACCATGTGCATGTGCACCGTGAGTGCACGTGAACTATGAGCTTTGCAAGTGGTTTTCAGCACTACATGCACCAGGTGCTCGTGACTTGGAGACACCCTCCCGTGGCACACAGTGAAAAAAAGAAACGTATTACTGATTATTAAAAGAGGAGACGAACAAACAAGACAGAGCAGCACAGTGCTGTTACCTAACCACGACTCGCATTACAGCAATCATTTATTACACATCGTATATTAAATTAGTCTGGTTTTATATGTGATGTCAACAAGGAAGTTCTAATCGGATAGATAAGTTTCACATGATATAAACTCTGATATATTAAATACATAAATGTTCTTCTTCAGAGGTTTGCTGACATGATCAGTGTAACCCTGTTCAGGATCACTCTGACTATGACCATGTACAATGTATTTCATTTACAGTCAAAGTTGATTTAGTGTTTAATTTAATTTAGTTATTTCTTTAAATTAAAGGGAAATTCAGCTGAAATGACACTATTACACGTTGACGGATTCCTCGTATTTGAACTGTCGTACAAATGAAAAGGTAGCAGCAGATCCACCGTGTTGGAAGGACACCGAATGCTGCAGTGAAAAATACAGAATTCAATGTTAGGACATGCACCAGTGCATGTACACAGAATAAGACGTATTTCCAAACCCACATATAGGAACGGTTTGGGAATATATTTGTTTCAAAACAAAAATACAGAAAATGAAAGTGGGCCATCAATTCAAAACTATCAATAGTTATTAATTGATGAGCCCTTCATAATTAACCCGTCAGTAGAAAGTTTGAAAGCACGCACAAGTTCAAATCAAGTGTTGTTGTTTTCCGGTACCCCGTCCACCGTGACGGCAGCACATCCGTTCAGGTATTATTCAGGAGCTGCGCTCACCGTCAGCCTGTGAAGGCGTCACCTCGGGGGGGCCGACGTGGATAATGCAGCCGCAACAGTTGCTAACGCGCCCAGGGATGTCTTATTTCATCCCCACTGAGCCTGAAGGAGACCTGGGGGGGGCTCCTGGAAAGTAAGCTGGTGGACCCTCTCGTGCGTGTTTGTGTGTGAGTGTGTGTGTGTGTCATTTGTCCAGAGGGTGTTAACAGCCACTGCTGCATCAGTGACTTGCACACTTAACGCTGCCTCCAGAGAAGGCAGCAGAGTGCTTAGCCCCGAGTCTTACACCGTGTGTGTGTGTGTCGGTGCATCCGTGTGGTTTCCATCTCTCTCTCCCCCCCCCTGCCGCCGTGGCTGTCAAGCGTGGAAAGTCGGTCAGTGTCTCAGGAAACTAGGCCAGAGAGAGTTAGTTCTGTGCTTCATGCTGCCAAGGGCACGCTATTCTACTTCCTGTTAGAAGTGAGGGGAACTCTTTCTACGACACACACGTCTATAATGCTAGTGTAGTATAATTATAAATATATATGTATATGTATGTATGTATGTGTGTGTGTGTGTGTGTGTGTGTGTATATATATATATATATATATATATATATATAGCATTATAATCTAATAGATTCATTTTCACTTAAAGCAAACGAGGACCTCTCAGAGTAACTTATGGCCTCAATCTTCTGACTTGTGTTAAATATTGTCGTAGGTTTCAGGTTTAAAGAAAGCGATGAACTTAAAGGTGCCCGTTGAGTTGTCTTGTAAACAAACAAAGCTTTGTGAACGTTCAGTGTTTTCTCACCAGAATACATGGTGTGTGTCCTCGAGGTCTGACAAAGGTGTCGAACAGCTTTCCTTCCTCCTAAATCCTTTCTAACGTGTTCACATCCATGTTCACAACAACCTTGCTCTTCCTGGCACGACATCACCTCGATCAGGGGAGTAGTGTCAACGCGTCGGCAGCGGTGTGAAGCTGATCAGAGCAGCAGGACTCAGAGTTCACATCCTGATGCTTGGAGCTCAAACACAGTCACAGTTTATACACAATGTTTTCCTCATGTTGAATTTTTAATGTGGAGATATCGGCCATTTTATCTGACCAGAGAACTGTCTGCTGTTTACATTCCTGATGATGCAAAGCCAAAGGATGCACTGCAGGACTGTCCTCCTGTTGTTGTGTCACAATGACAACACATGATCCTTGAATCCCTTGACTTGGGGAAATAAAGACACAGACTCCCCTCATCATCCTGTTCATAATTTATTCAAAGGTATTTGAGGGGATTAATAATGCAGTAAGATAAATTCATAAGCATTAGGTTGTCTGAGTCTATTCTTTCTCTCCCTCCCTCGCTCCTCTTCCTCCCCTCTTCCTGTCACAAAGAGGACTCCTACTGGGCTCCTAAATGCAGGCTTATGTAAACCTCTTCCTCTGCTTTGACTCCCCCACACATCCCCATTCGGCTGCGTGTTCTCTCTCGCTCTCTCTCCCTTTTGCTGTAATTCTCTCTTCATTTTTCATCTCTAGTTGTTTCTCCTTTCTGTTGTTTCATCTCCTGCATCCGGAGCGCATCCCTCCCACACCTTCCTAGAGACTTTCCTCCCTTCCATTCACATGAGAGAGAGAGATGATGTCATTGATGCTTTGGTTTGTTTAAGCCTGGACTTGTTTATTATTATTGACATATTGTGTGTGTGTGTGTGTGTGTGTGTGTGTGTGTGTGTGTGTGTGTGTCCTCTGCAGCATTGCCAGTGGTTTCGGTGGGGCTTTGTTTGTCTACCTGAACCGACTGATTGTCCAGTTCATCAGGAAACAGAAGGCCATCAACAGATTCCTCATGAAGAAGTAAGTGGAAAGTAACCGTTCGATGACTCTACTTTAAGTATAGTTTGGTTTTGAGGGACTTTTTTACTCCACTACATAAACTATAGCTACTTTTCAAGTTTTTATTTTTATTTTTCATGCAAATGCATAAGATACGGTTTGATTTCTTGTTCTCTCCTTTTCTCAGGCGTCTGCTGTATCCAGCGCTGGTCACTTTGCTCGTCTCCACACTAACATTCCCACCTGGCTTTGGACAGTTTATGGCTGGAAAGGTACGTTCTGCACCCCCACTCAGCACAAAGCTTCATTTTTTAAAACAGCCATGAACGGCAAATCCAATATGTGGAAGTGAGGCTGTAGACCTGATACTATATCCTATCTAGCCTGCAGCCAATCACAGTGTCGCACATCTCAATTTAACTTGGTGTGTTTTCACTGAGCACCTCTAAGCATGATTTCTATATTCACTATATTTCTATATTCACT